TTTTATGCTGTGACATGAATCTTGGGTGTTGCAATCAATACGTATCTGCTTTGCTCTAGACTGGTTTTTATGCTGTGATTACCACTGTAATAACTAAGCTCCTTTTTGAGTCAAAGTGGGTATCTTTAGACTGTCAGGTGGAATTTGGGAGAATCCAGACTGCTCTCTATCAAACAGCTTTGCTGGGCTGAGGCTGGGGAAGTTGGATCAGGAATGAGATACCTGGCAGTTTTACACAAGTTTCTCACTCTCTAACTGCTCTAGGAAAACTGAATTGTTTGCTTCTCAGCTGTTTATGCACAACCAGTAAAAGCCTCAATTGTTCAACCTTGAGCTGAGCCCCAAAGGGATCAATATAGCTTTGTCTCCCTGCCACAGGCTCCCAGGCTGCCATTACGCATGGATACCAATCTCACGGCGCTTGCCACAGTGTCCGTGAGCAAGGCCCTTGGGGAGGTTACAACCACTAATGCCTTGTGGGAAAGGAGCACAAATATGAACAGGACTGTTTCTGATAAGTTGAGTACAAGTTCCTCAGGACAGGAGCTGCCTTTTTCTTCTGTGTTTGTCTGCCCATCCAGGACAACAGACTTGGCAGTGACATCTCTGGTAATGCAAAGACCTTGCAACAACTGTCCGTGTTCATACTGCTGCTAACCCAATTCACAAGAGGCCACTCTTTAAGGGCTTCTGTTGAGAGGGAGTTTATTGATAAGAATATGAACATACACGAATCTTTATTTTTCCCAGGAAGCTCTTTTTCAGTCAACCAGGCATTTAGCATGGCTCTGAATAAGATGGAGAGATGAGGAATGATATACGTTAAAGCCTCTGGACTGTGATCTCAGCAGCTTATGGGTAGGCAGAAGTCACATTAGCCTGAATAAACATAAGTCAAGAAATATGTGAAGTAAAACTAAGATGAGCTCAAAAGCAGGCATTGCCCGCCATCTGTGAACTCTCTTACTGGATTCTTTTCTTGGCTGTGTTAGTTGTTATCTTGGTGCATGGTGCAGAGAAAACAGAGCATCTCCTAACATAACTAGCCATAGATGGGTAGGCTGCCTATGGTGGCCCACACAGAACATGTCAGCATGATAAATGATACACGGACCTGTGCTGGGACCTTGTCCAGGCTGTGGTGCAGCTACTGGAAATCTGATTGGTCTACATTCAGTAAGGAAAAAATAATCTATACCTTTGCGGGCCATGGATCGCGTAGGTTATGAGTTAATATTACAGAGAAGAAAGCAATAGGATAACACCCACTCATACAGAGTCACAGAGGGGAGAATCTGTGGTTTGTCCCTTTCAAGAGGTGAGACATTATAGGATATCCCCTACTGAAGTATTTCTAATGCTGACAAGTGCTAACTCATGTAGTCCATGTAGGAAATCATCAATACTCATCTCCACTCTAACTGAATAAATCACAATTTCCTGACAAATCCAGTTCAGAGGGCTGCTACGGTCTTTTCCATGGTTTGCCATCACAAACTGGGATTGCAAAAAGCACAAAAGGCTTAATAAGCCTACAGTCATGTCCTGAATCATAGGAAAGGGATCAGACTATGAGCAGAGAGGTACTGGCCTGTTGCTGGAAGCTGCAGGTCAGCAATCCCAGAAGAAAGCTCTGCTGGCTGGAAGAGAAGAGCTAATAAAGCTGTTTGTGCTCCCAGGCAATGCCTATTAAACTATCCACAACTAGTTAGGCCAGGTTGCCAATGACCTACAGCATAATAGCCTGTCAGATAAGGAGGAAAAGGGTCTGGCTGACTCTCTCCACCTGCTCTGTCAAAACCCAATCAGTCAATCATCTGAAGAGGAATGGAAGTGGAGAGCAAGGACTTGCATTGTTCCAAGGAATGTCGTTCCTGCTTTCATTAAATTAGACCTGATCTGTATTGTCATTTGCCATCTGAATTATTATAGTATTTTTCCCCTTACCTGCCTTTCTCCTAGATGTCAGTGCTACAGTCAACAATCACAGCCATGCTTCAGCTATCTCACAGGGTAAGGAGAGGTTTTTTTTTCCTATGGATTGCTTCAGGGCTTGGGGACTTAGAGTTGATGTGAGAAAAAGGCCTAGTTCAACTGCTTGTGAAGGACCAGAAAGGAAGTGATATAGCATTTTATAAAGCAATTTTTTTAACTTCCCAGATAGGCAGATGAGTGGGCTATGATCACTCCTGAGGTCCAGCAGCATTTAAATGAACTATCACATGCATCCCTGCCTTCTTTGCATACATAGTAACACTGCTTTCCCTTTGCATTTGTATCTTCCACTTCCCAGCCAACAAGAAATAAATAATTTCTGTGGTTCTAACTCAGGTAATTAGCCAACAAACACTACTGACCAAGTCAATGAATGAAAGAAACAACAGATAAATTTGCTGAGGAACTCCTTGAGGAGAGTGCACAAAGAAAAAGTAATTTGGCCCTTTCGCCCCCCAATGCTGGTTTAATTTCACAACCTGTCCATTCAAAACCTCCCACACAAGCTCAGTAACACTTGTTCTTCCAGTTCTGCAGTCACGAGTTTAACTGCAAAAAAATTCCAAGGAGAGAGATATATTTTAGAAACCTTTACAATGATCTAAAATAGCTCTTTGATGCATAGCAGATGTCTTCAAAACTAGCATAAATGGAGCCAAAGTAAGTACCTTACAGTTCTGGAAAAGGGAGATTCCAAGATAAGACGTGTTGCTAACTGCAGCAGCTCTGGAATACATTTGGAATTTATATTAATTGTCAACCTCAAGGAAAACATATGAAAGTAAGCCTTTCTGTCCCCTGTTTTTGGGATAAAAGTGCCTTATTGGGCTACATGCCGCTCAAAGACCTGATGTCTGCCTGAAAGCAGTCTGAAAGTAACAGATGGGTTGAGATGGGGGAAAAAGAGAGAGAAAACAAGCAGTGAGACATGGAGGTGACAGACTGGGGACTGCCTGCCCTTCATCCCCGGCTCTTGTTGGTTAGGAAGGGGGTGCTTGCCTGACTTCACTGTAGAGGGGAGGACTGATGGATTGGAAGGGGGTCAGTGAGATGGCACTGAGGGCTGCTAATAAGGCAACACCTCTGAGACACACAGCACGGGAGAAAAAGTGTGAAGGGGCACGCTGGAAAACTGAACAACAGACCCAGGAAAACTGACCCTGGAATCAAAGTGGGGATGGGATTCCCCAGTCCTGTTGCTCATCAGAGGGAACGGCCAGAATGAAGATTTGCTCTGAGGAGCCTTTTCAAAAGGGAGAAAAGAAGTCTGTGTCTGACAAATGGAATAGACGGTACAACCGGAAAAAAACACCAAGCACAAACATGCAGCCAAAGTGATGAGTCAGGACAAGAATCTTCTTATTGCTGCTCTGAACAGTGCATCTCATGTGTACTAGGCCTTAGTTTTCATGAAGATTTAAGCTAGCATCCATGTAACACCCTTAACTTGGACAATGTTAGGCTGTGCTCATGGAAAAGCTAGGGAGTGTCTCCTACGTGAATACAAGAAAGCATTAGATGGAGGATTGAAAGACTGATGTAGCAGTAAGATGGAAGATTTGCTATGAAATAAATCTTAAGAGCAGAAATGACAGAGCTAGAAGATTCTATATACATAATTAAAAGTGAAAAAAAGAGGTTCTATTTCCCTATATATGCAAATGACACAGCCATGCTTAATACTGAATATAGCAAAAGAGGAAAGTCAGGTAGTAATGATGATACTACAGAGGAGTAGTGTTCCCCTCATCAGCTCTGCTCCTCCCACCTCTTCCTGGCAGTCTTTCCCCATCTTCCTTCTTTTCGTATTGCAAGAAATCATCCAGAAATACAAACTGCATATCTGGCTTTCATATACATGAAAGTTCAGGAGGACTTTGGTTTGGCTGAAAGGATGAGACAGGAAATCTGAGTAACCCCAGTCTGAACCACAGGCCCCAAATCCAGGGGCTTCTGGATGCAGCCCTTAGACTGAGCTCTGCTCCAACGTGTCATTCTACCTTTCTCTCTCCAACCTTCTTTCTGCAATGCTCTCCCCTTTTCTGGCTGCTGAATTGCAGTAGATAGCTTGACTGTCTGTTGCAGAAAGCTTGTACTCTTCCTACCTCAAACCCTCTTTAACGCTTTACGTATATGGGAGTATCACAGAAGACTATTCCTATGGAGCTAATCAATGCTTTTCCCATGCATTTTAGATGAAAGAATACCCAATGGCAAAAGAAATCAGGTAAAGAGTTCTTTCCTCAAAGGACATGATGCAGAGGAAGAAAAACCTACCTCTTGTTCCCATCCTACTGATAAATCTTTAGGGGGTGAAGGTTTCCTTGCAACCCAAGCTGCTAGCCCCATGGAGTCTCACTACTGAAAGGATAGTCTCCTTCCAAGCTTGCCACATCCTTGAGCGTGGACGGCACAGTTAGATAGCAGAACAAAGCTGGTGAGTTCTCCTTTATTCTGTCTCCAACCTGCTCTTCAGTCATCTTGCAGATCAAATGCCTTCTTTACCTCATAAGACACAGGAAGACTGTCTGCCAAAGTAGAGAGTAATACGAAATCATCTGTGCCACTGTTTGCCTCTCCCTTTTAAGGCAAATCAGTGGGAAGCAAATTCCATCGTTTTCAGAAGGAACATCTTCATTGTAATATCTAACCAGAAATGCCTTCCCCTGTTTCTGGCACCAGCAGTGTTTTGTCTCCACCACCGTGCTGTGCATTACCAGCAGTAGAGATTGGGACAACTAGATGAAGACCAAAGCTAAATAGAATTACAGGTCCAACTCTGTAGGGCATCTACTGAAGTAATTTCATTTGTTCCCTCAGACAACCTGGTTATTGTGCCTGGGAAATCACACTGCAAAACAAGCCTGCAGTACATTTAAGATTCTTGCCACTTTTTTACAGCTGCCTGTATTGCTACTGAAGTTTTCTGTTGATGTTGGAAGAGAAGAAAACTACTGTACAGTTCACAAATCACCATCACAGTTGAGTCCAGCTGGGTCTCTTACCTGTTGGGGTGAGGTGCCTCCAGGTGATGACAGGCTCAGGACGCCCATTTGCCATGCAAACCAGGGTCACATTGCTGCCCTCATTCACGGTGATGTCCGAGGAGATATTGGAGATCTTTGGTGGAACTGTGAAGACAAAAGAAAGTTGGACCTTGTTACCCAGACTTCTGGAGGGCAGCCTGTCTGACTCATTAACCTACCTATTAACCACAGGCAGCCACAGAGTCCTCTCACAAGCTGCACTCCTCATTACTACTTGGGTTTCTGAAATTATATCAGAATAATATGTACCACTGCGTCAAGCATCTGCAGGTAGAAATGGCCTTTGCTGCAACTGTGATGCTTTGTGTTTGGACAGGTTTGGGGGCCTTCATAAAATAACCCCTAAGAACTTGCCTGACTGCCCCAAGGCTACACGGAAGGAGTTAGCAGGCTCCAAGCACTGTCCCAGCTAATTTTTACGCTCTAAAGAGTCCCAGATGCAGTTCTACGTCATCCTGCAGGGTGTCAGGCCTCAAGGCACTGACTCAGAGGGTATATTAGTTATTGCTACCTCCCATGGGCAGATATAACCCATGCTGCTAGGCAGAACCCTGCTCTGCTGCTCACATAAACCAAATGCTCACCAGGAATTGAACTGGAAAGCTGTTAAGCTCATTCCTGTTGCGACTGCCATGACGAGGTAAGCAGGGATGTGTGCCATGGCTAATGGTAATTTGCTGAGGGAAGGCACAATGGCGATGGCAGAAAGGTTTCTGCAACATCTTTCAGCCAAGAGGGAACCCCCATGGGCTGCCCGCAGTAGGTAGCTTCTGGCTGACTGCACCTCACGTGGCAGAGCACCAAAAGCATGGTAGGGTCTTTAAAGATTCACAAGACCAGCCATGGCTCAGGCATTCAGGATCCTTAAAGACCTTCCAAGATAACTGAGTTTGTGTCACAAGACCAAAGTGATCATGCTGGGACCTGAACAGGTACCTCCAGGTGTGGAGTGTGCCGATGTATCAGCCTCCAAGCACACAAGGCTGTTGCAGTCTCTCCTCAACCACATCCATGTCTTGCTTCCACGCTTCACACCCTGGAGGTGGTGAGGGAGTTTGACTAAAAAAAAAGGAATCTTCTAATTTTTTTCTATTTTTTTAAAAATATATTTTCAGCTTCCAAATTTGTGTGTAGCGAGGAATGAGACAACATCATTTTCTGCTTTGCTTACTACAGAGTAAACAGACAGCAGCTTCCCCTTCCGCCTCCTTGGCAGGAGTGGCTGATGGTCCTTTTGAGGCAAAGCTGCCTACGAGCTAGGTGGGGAAAAGGAAATGAAGCCTGAAGAGAGCAACTCACCACTTCCAGCTGTGTTGCTGGATTCACAGGAACATTATTTACAACCCATAGCTCATTAGCCTCTCTCTGTAGGCCCCAAACTCATGGACAACACTTCAGCATCTATGACCATGGAAACCCCTTGGAGGAACAGGGGCTCCCAAGCAGCAACACGACCTGTTGAACAAAGTGATGCAGAAGTGTCTTTGCCGACAGGCTTGCTCAACTAGGCAAGGAGAGGTTTAAGCTAGACACTTTGGGGAAGGATTGCCCAATCTGGGGAGAAATGAGAGCATGGAAGACAGTGAGGAAGCAGCTGGGGGCCAACCACAACACAGAAGACTTGCACTCTCCTTCTGAAAGTAGGACAGCTGGGGGCCTATCTCAAATGCCTCTGTACCAATGCAAATATCGTGGTGAAAAAACGGGAGAAATTATATGTTCATGCAGATTCGCAGTGCTATAAACCCATTGGGATGACAAAGCCATGGTGGGACAGCTTTCAGGACTGGCAGTGCTGTGTGGGACAGATACTGGCTTTTCAGGAAAGACAGGTTGGAAAGGCAGGGAAATGAGGTGCGCTCTCTGCAAAGGAGTGGCTGGAGTGCACCCAGCTCTGGGCGGTGAACTAGCTAGGAGCTTAGGCGTAAGGATCAGAGGATATCATCTCGGTTGGTTGGTGTCTACTACTAACCATTTCATTAAGAAGAGGCAGCGGACAAAGACTGCTTTAGACAGATAGAAGAAGCCTCACAATCACAGTCCCTGGTGAGGGACTTTAACCACCCTGATATTTGCTGGAAGGGTGAAAGTGCTGGGCTCAAACAGTCCAGGAGATGTGGGGGTCCAACAGGTTCAGCATGAGTTAGCAGTATGCCCTTGCAGCAAAGACCATACCTCCTGGGTTGTATTAGCAACAGTGTAGCCCCATAAGTGGAGGGAAGTGATTATATCCCTTTATATGGTGCTTGTTAGCATCTGAAGAACTACATCAGTTTCAGGCTCCCCAGTACAAGGCGGCCATTGACATAATGGAGCAAGTCCACTGGAGGGCTCCCAAGATGGTCAGAGGGCTATAGCACTTGATGTACGAGGACAACCTAGGAGAGCTAGGTGTGTTCAGCCTGGAGAAGGCTGAAGGGAGATCTTATTGCTGTCCACAAATAGCTAGTGGGAAGGTGCAGAGAAGACAGAGGCAGGCTTTTCTCAGAGGTGCACAGTAAACAGTGAAAAGCAGCAAACATGAGCTGCAACGTGGGGAAAATTCTGACTCAAAATGAGGAAAAAGCTTTTACTTTGGGAAGGTCAAAGACAGGAGTAGGTTCCCCAGAGAGGCAGTGGAAAGTCCACCCCTGGAGATATGCAAAATTCACCTGGATGAGGCCCTCAGCAACCTGCTCTAACTGGCACCAGGAAGGAAGGAGAAGGGCCCTTGGAAGCTGGTTTGCTGCTCAAGAGCTAGAACTGATGGCTGGCCAGCTGATGGTGAAGCAACCAAAGCAAGGCATGTTGGGGGAATAGTTGACTGCACCGGGGCCCCCTTCTCTGGAGAGAGGGCATGTCAGAGCAGGCACACCTCCCTAGCAGCACAGGGACACCTTCCACTAGACCGCTTCCCCTGACAAACACAGGCTGTGCTACATTTTACATCGGTGATTCACTGCAAGCCATCGGCAGTGTGTCTGCGCATGTAGGAAGAGGTAGGAGACAACAGAACAAAACAAAACAAACAGTGTTGGAGAATGCTGATGTTGTCAAAGAATTTGATCCCACCATCAAGGGGTACATGAGGTTTCACTGACTATAGATCCATTTTGTGCCTCCTCCTCCTTTATCACACACCCGTTCTGCACAGCAAATGCCTGGCAGTACAAAACAACAATCACACAGTGATTGTTGGAAAGTGAACAAATACCTTTGCCAACCAATACCCCAGTAATGCATATAAAGGCCAGCAGAAAGGAAATACCTGAGTTGGGAAATTCAATACCCTCCCTCCTCCAAAAGACGTTTGTGGCTTCGTGTTTCACAGCACACCAAAGCAGAGAGGTGGCCTGCAGCATCACGCTGAGATCTGGCTCAGCACTGAGTCAGCAGGACTCAGAAGCACTTTCTCCTTCTCCTTTCTGCCCCACTGGATGAGGGTAGACCCCTGCCTCATGGCTCAGGACAGACAGACCCATTGCTCCAGCCAGCAGAGCTGGAGGCTGGGAGAGCCCTGCAAGTTCTGGTGCAGAAATCCAAACTGCTTTCAGATCTGAGACCAACACACACTGGACAGGACAGAGGGGCTTAGTCTGGGAAAGAACAACAGAGGCCGCTAATTTTGCATGAGTTGTATCCTCTCTGTTCTGTCAGGGGACACAAAGATGGTGACTTTGGAGCATACTCAGCACATCTTCTTTGGTGTACTGGCAAACACGGGTAAGCAGAGCCCAGGAGTAGAACCATTGGCTAGACCATGTTTTGGGAGGTTTATCTTAACCTCAAGGGGTTAACATTTGCATCAGGAAAAAAAGCCATGCAGCAAACCAAGAAGGACTAAGCTCAAGCAGGACTAGCAGATGGAGCTGTGGGCCAGTCTGAGGTTCTAACAGAATGGTGTGATGACAGCCAAAGCAGTCAAGGAGAGAGCAGCAAAAGCCACTACAGAGCACTAGCAGCAGAGCTGCAGTTAGGACATGTGTACCCTGCCACTTTCCAAAGCCGTCAAGTCATTTTAGTTCACAGTGGATCAAGTAAACTCAGCAAATACAAACAGATCTGACCATGCAGACCAAATGCCCAAGAGGAGGAGCATGTGTCCAGATGGTCATATGTGGCTTGCCACTTTTTTCAGATGAGGGAGAAAAGGGCATCCAAGGCTGAAATCCTGTTAGGAGTATAATGGTTGGATCCTTTCAGGTGCCACCTTGGTCAGAGGGCAAGGAAAGGCTGAGAGGAGGGGGAACAGGGCAGGAAATAATTACCCTGTGAATTTAAAACCTGGTTTGGTTTCCTCTGCTTAGAATCCAAAGCCAGCTAGCATTAAAAGTGACTGGATCTTAGTGGACAGTAATTTCAGTCAGATAAAAAGTCAGAGACTTTTAATTTTCAGGGTGTCAAGGCAGCGTGTTAAAATGCCAAAACTGTCAGCACCAGCAACAGTTAGCATTGGCTCCTTGGCACTTGTCATTACTTTGCACACACCTTTTTAGGACAGTCTTAAAATGAGAAGCTTTGACCTTATTATTTTTTCCCATGTGTGGGCTGTGTTATGTTTTCACAGTTCCCAGACTGCTGGAAGAAGGACTGTTGAGAATAAAACCTCCTGGGACCAGGATCTTCTGGGTGTCACAGCCTCCTTTTGCCCAGCCATCTCTTGTTGACCCTCAACTGGAAAATCCTTTTGTGTCTGGCCTCTCTGAACCATTAGCACAGGGAAAACCACAGCCTGCAGACCCACAGTAGGGGAGGCACTACAGTTAAACAGCACTTTCAGGCATTTTCATATTCAGCCTAACAACTCGTCTCTCCAGGGAAGACCAGGCTGGCTCCTTCTGGCTCCAGGGACCATGGGAAAGCACTGCCAGGCTCTCCAGTACTGCTGAAAAAGATAAAATCACCAGATTTTCAGCATAAGTGTAATATAGGGTATCCATTACCCTGTGTTAAGGATCCCCCTGGATAGGGTGGGGAGCAGGGACTGATGTGAAAGGAAGCACAGTGTAGTACCCCACTGCTCCATTCCCAGAAAGGTAGGACGTCCTACTGTATTGGGTTTGCGTGGCAAGGTTTTGGTAGCGGGGGGGCTCCAGGGGTGGCTT